ATGAATTCCATCCGTGCTTTCAAAACTTCCACACATTCCAGACAAATATCGTGCCTGCAAAATACTTCTTCAACAATAAACAACAAACTCACTTATCTACTGACAAGCTTAGCTTAGGCGAAGAATGCTTGGAGTGTTCTTTACGAGCAAACAAACATTCCTCAAACAAACAGCGTGCAGGTTGCCGTTGCGGCCACAAGAGGCAGTTAAAAATTCTGTGTTCCTTGCCTTGCTGGCAGCCGGTAGATGTAGAAAGTTATTGGCTGACACTCATAATAAAATCATTAGCCAGCGCACCGACTGCCGGTGCGAAGATGCGTTTTTTTGCAGAGTTCTCCCGCGGGTTTTGTTGCTAACGGCACTGTTTTTTCCGGCAAATACTTCTAGATAGAAGAATTGAGACTGGCCCCATGAATGTCGGAAATTATTACGGTGACTCCCAATCCCTGCTCTAAAAAAAATCAACACTCTAGGTGCTCTGGCTGCGGGGTCACGTCAAGCTCCATACGTTCGTTCCTAAGGAAAAACGTGAATGCCGTTTTCGTGTGCGCTTGCTCAAGCACGCTCCTGAACCATCCTCAGAAAATTTCGGCACTCCAGCTTTTCTGGTTGTGGAGTTACGCCAAATTTCACTTGTTCATAAGTGAAAGAAAACGTAAGTGCTGTTTCCCCGTGCGCTTGCTTAAACACGATCTTGGGCCACGGTCAGAAAATTTCAGCACCGTAAATGCTTTAGTTGCGAAGTTACATCAGATTTTACGCGCTCGTGCGTGAAAGAAAATGTGAATGCTGTCTTCGTTTTTGAAAATCTTTTCGTGACCAAGGAACATCTCTGTGGAACTTTCAGCCTTCTAGCTTACGCCGTTCCCGAAGTCGCTTTTCCGCCAAAAAAAACTTTCACGCGCCTGTATGTGAGAACCACGGGGGCGTGCATCCATTCTGAGGAAAGGGGCCATCATATATGTGTAGATGAAGTTGTTAAAGTTTCAGCTTTGTAACTTTTGTAGATCTCAAGATGAAAACTCGGTACAGAGGCACATACAGACACAGAAGCACATACACAGACAACCCCCCGACAATATATATTTTTGCATTGCACAGATGCAAAAAAGGCATAATAAATGATCGTTTAAGAGGCCTGCGATGAGGTCAAGTCTGTTCATTTGCGCACTTCAATGATCTCTGACTCCATACATGCAGCTTAAAGTCCCAAGCGGCGTATCAGAGTCGCACAATGGCATGAAAGTGCTTTCCAGTAACACTACTAACATCGAAAACCTCCAAAAATTATCCTTCCAGGCGGCTTTTATAATCCTGATAATTCCAACTCAGCTGTTTAATACTATATTTGTAAAAAGAAACAGAATTAAGCCGAAACAAACCCCGTTTTTAGCTCAGCGTATTCAACATCGTAAATTTCCAGGAAACGTAGTGCTGCTTGCTTGTTAACTGCCTTAATCAGACCATTTCTGACGCTTTCAAGCGATATTTGATTATGCACACACAGTGGAAACGACATTTTCGATTCAGCCTGCAACATATATTGCCTTCAAACTTGCCGACATTTCGCTAATCTATCCAAAAACACCAACGAAGAGTGCGAATTAGATCCAATTGAAAGATTAAAAAATGGCCAACGTACGGGCTGCCCGTGCGAAGATGCGTTTTTTGCCGAGTTCCCCGCAGGTTTTGTCGCTACCGGCATCGGTTTTTCGGCAGATGCTTCTAGCTGAATTTCAGAGTGGCCGCCAGAACTGTCAGGAAGAATCCCCTCAAAATTCCAATCTTCTAGCTTCTCACCGTTCTCGAGTAATAACTTACCCGGAAGGGACTTTTCATGGGCCCGTACGTAAATATCACGCTTACCCGCGGGCAGGGCTTGAACTCGTTAATACCCAGTTATACAGGGAACATCCCCCTAAGATTCCAGCTGTCTAGCTTCTCAGAAACCCGAGTTATTAAATAACGCGGGAAAAATTTTGGGGGGCCTGACACGTGGGTACCACGCTTACCCGGGGGCAGGATTTGAGCTCATTAGCACCTGCTTGGACGGGGAACATTACCCTAAAATTTCAGCTTTCTAGCAT